AATCAAAGGCTTCACAATCAACTACCAGTGTCATAGGCCATCCAGTCCCCTTCTATTTTATTTTATTTTTTTTAATAGCAGTCTTTCCATTTCCTCTACTGGGATGCATTTGTGGAAATGTTTCAGGGCAGTGGTTTGCCTTTTTTCTAGGTTTCCTATGTTTCTGAAATTCTGTTTAGCATAGGGAAACAGAATCAGTATAGCTGCCACAGTTGCTGTGAGCATTTTCTTCTCTGTCCTTACAGGGGGCTGATCAATTATTACAAGGGGAGGCCTGCTATAATATGCAAGGCAGATGTTCCAAGAGTGGCCATGCTGAGAAAGTGCAAATCAGTAGGACAACAGCAGGGACATTACTTAATACTGCCTTGAGCTCAGGGTTTAGGAGCTCAAAGTTTTAAAATGTGTAGTTGTGCTCAACTAGCATCATTTGAACCCTGTCTGCCCCCAAAGCTCTGAACCAGGGTTTGAGGCTCAACCAGTCAAAAGAAAGATCTGGCCTTGCTCAGATTTCAGTGAATTGTCTGGATTTCAGGAGAAGAAATTTGGTTCCAACTCTTCTCTAACCAAGCAGTGTGTCACTGTGATGTAGTTTGGGAATATAACTTTAGAGTAAATCCAGGTTGAAGTAGTTTGGCAGTGATGGTCACACTGCTGTCTTCCACTGTTACAAAGCTTATTGTTTTAGGTACTGGTGTGGGCAGTGTAACAATGTGAAATGTGGTTCTTTCCCTTGAGTTTATCTCTGTCTCCTCACTCTTCCTTTTCTAGATAGAAGTCTGATCTGGGGCAGGGGCAACAAAGATATGTCCTGCGGGGCTCCTGGAAGGGCTGGGAATTTAGAGCCAGGGCCTGGTGCCAAAATCCAGGGTACAGAACCCTGTTGGGGATGTGTTTCAGAGGAGAGTAGGGGGAGGACACGAGTGCCAGCTTCATTAACTACCCATGTCACCACTGCCACTTGCCCCACCACGAATGGTGGGTCTGGTCCAGCCCACAAGGAGCCCCATGGTCTGAATCTAGCTTAGGGGTCTAAATCTGGTCTAGTGGTATGAACTTAAGAGATGGTACAAAGAACTGTCCAGCTCCAGTCCTATTTCTGATACTGACTGCATCCTTTCTTGTAGATGCATTAAGAAATTCAGTGTAATAAAATTGCTTCAATATGAATACAAAAAGTTGCTAAGGATAATAAATAATCAAGCAAGAGAATTGGATGCCGAAGTAGACAGAGGACACATCTACATGAGCCATTTACAGCAGAGCTGCCTAATAAGCTCCTCAGTAAAGTCTCAGTATCTACATGCATGGTCCTATTAGGCCACAAGAAACTAACTCCACTTCAGATTAGTACTTGTAAAAACAAGTACTATCCTGCAGTGAAGTTCTTTACTGTGCAGCAGTGCATGTGTAGGTGCTGGTGGGGCTAGCTGGGACATGAGGGTGCTTCAGAGCAGGGGCTGCCTGCCAGCTACCCCGCACTTGAGTACCCGTGTGCCCCAGCCAGCCCCTCTGCAGCACATTGAGCTGGGTCGGATCAAGGGGGCTTATTTCACGTGTAGGCGCACCCAGAGAATCAGATTCTGCTTTTCTTTGTTCTAGAGTAATTCCAGAATATAATTCTAAAGTAGTTCCAAATACTTCCTAACTACTACATAGCTGCACCAGAGCAAATGAAAGCAGACTATGTCCAAGGGAAAGACTCTTGACTTTATACTAAAGGCAATCTCATCAGTCAACCTGCCCGTGTGAATATTGGGAAATCAACTCTTTTAGACAACTGTGGAAGCAAAGCTGCAATATAACAGTGCTCTTGAATGCAAATCAGTGAAAAATTGGCCAGTGTGCAAATGCTCATTTGTCATATCCCTTGCAAATACACTTTAATTGTTTTCATATTTAGATGCCCAGAATCAACCATAATAAATGTGAGATGTCATGTTGCTGAGCGATTTCCAAAAACAAAAGAAGATCTCTGAGGCATGTGGTGACTTATTGCCAGTTCCCAGTGTTCTCTTTACAATCATAAAAGGGCAAGGACCAAAAGAAGGACAAATCTATCATCTGTGGTTGAAGTTTCCTACCTTAAAAACAGGATTTGTTAGCTCATATTAACTAATTTAATACTGTTATCCTCTCTTACTTTTTTTGTTTACTTTGCCTGTCTGCATAGCTAGGTATTAGCCAGGAATCCTGTACAGTTGCAACTGAATGATGTTTTATGTGCAAATATAAGTTTTCATTTTCTTTATTTTCAGTATGGCTCATTCTTTTCTTCATCCCAGTACTATGCTGCTAAGACGACTCACTTTTTTCTCATCAGCTCTTTGTTCTAACTGTTAAGATCCCATTTATTCTTTGGATACTTCTTTTTTTCCCCCTCTTTCTCTCTCTTGTGCTGTTACCCCCCCCCCCCC